AATAAAATAAAATTCATATCATGGTTAGTAAAGGCCGATCTTTGATCGGGTGGGCGGGGGTGCTCATTATTGACCTTCCCCTCTCATACTTAAGGTTCCGAGCCAAGCATCCTTGGTTACGACGAACAGTGGCCTTGGCACGAGTTATGGGTTTCCTAATTTTCCCAAAATAAATATTAGGTGGCGACTCTGAGATTTGATGATGCAGTCCATTTTTGACAAAATTGCAATAAAATGGATTTTCAATAAAAGTTGCCAAATCTGGACTCTCATCTATGTTTCACATTGCACTCGTGAGAATAGATCAAAGAGATTTTTCTTGGTTTTGGTTCGGTTGGGACAACCCATTTACTATTTTTTTGAGCCATTCAAGTGCATCCACTCATCCTCCATTATACCTAACCATCCTCCATAGTCAAAAAGATGTTTTGTTTGCATCCATAAAGGAGTATCCCATGCAACCACCTTGAAAATTTGCCCTCCTATCACATTCTTGTCTCCCACCTTGTCTCCCACCTTCTTTTTGACCTTTACTCTCCCTCATTGCCTATATAGAATGATCATATTGTAAGAGAGGAGGAGGACCACGAAATTGAAGAGAAAGGAGTGAGAAAAGAGTGAAAAAAGAGAGAGAATTTGAGTTTTTGAGCCAAAAATATTCCTATCTTCCATATACACCCCATACTTTCCATAGATACTGAAATTCCTCATTTCCATACACCAAAACCACTCCAAAAATTCTGATATAGCCAAATATCAATCGCCTCGATCATAAGGAAGAATGTTTAGTGATTGAAAGTGAGAAAAACTAGAGAGTTAACCACTTTCTATACCCCAAACTCCATAAACTCCATAATTTTGAATTGAGGATTTGAGAACACACTTCCTACACTTAAGGGTGATCAAGAGGAAGTTTGGAAATCAAGAAGTTCAATCTTTCTTTGGAAGGTGAATTTTTCATTTTCTTATATTTTATATCTTATATTTATATTCTTGCTTTTATTTCATTGTGTTTTGTTATAATCCTAGTGATTTGTTTATCTCATATTTATTTTCTTACTTTATATTTCATAGTGTGTTGTTATAATCCTAGTAGTTTGTTTAGCTCATAATTATTTATTTATTTATTTTTATTCGCATACTTTAATTTCATATTAGTTTGTTGTAATCTTGCATGTTTTACCTCATATTTTTTTTTTTTCGTGTATTAGTCTCATATTAGTTCCGTTATAATCTTGCATGTTCTATCTTATATTTGTTTTATTGCTTTAGGTTTATGTTGTGAGTTTGCACCTTTTTTTTATTTTATTTATTTTCTTTTTTTTTAATCTAACCGGTAGTGGTTAGTTGAGCCACCTACATATTCTTTGTTTGTTCCTTTTCTTGGTTTCGCAACAAGACAGGTTTTGCTTGGCCTAGTTCACCGGCCGGCCTATTTGGCCGGTCGGTTAGCTTCTTCCGAACAGGATGGCATAATCTCCTAATATTGACCAATTTCCATCGGCGGTTCTAAAGAACATGAAGCTTTTATTTTATTTATTTATTTTATTTTGAGTGTATTTTCTTTCGAACAGGATGGCGTAATCTCCTAATATTGACCAATTTCCATCGGCGGTTCTAAAGAACATGAAGCTTTTATTTTATTTATTTATTTTATTTTGAGTGTATTGTGAGGTTTTTATTTTGTTGTAATATTCTCCTCATCCCTCTCTAATTTAGTTTGTAATTATTCTTTAAAATGTTGTAATAATTCCCCGCCCCGCTTCTTTCTATCCCGTTCTTTTACTTGCTTTCTTTATTTGTACATAAACATCATATTTATTTTTCATCATAGTTATGCTTTGCATCCATGTTTCATCAATCTTGATTCGGCTAAGTTTGCATTTGTGGATTTAATCAATTCCTATGTGATTATGTGCGCTACCTCATGTTCTTGAGATGATTCACATATCATATTTTAGAAGCCGAATCTTTAGTTGCATCTCATGAGTGAATTGCATTAGGATTTTGTATATAAGATCATGCATATTTTACTAACTTTGTTTTGCAGCTTGTTCGTGGGACATCAAACATGTGAGTTTTTATGCTTTAGCATCCCGTGTGTGTGTATTTTTCTTACTATGTCTAGCATTCTACCATGAGGCTAGTTGCTTATGTGATATAACTCTATGAATGCCAGTGGATGGAGGTTGTGTCGCTTAATTTGGAATGATGTTGATTTTTCATGCTTGTAAACTCAATTTATTTGGGTTGTACATCGTCAAAACTCTTTCAAAATGCATGATATCAAATTACTCCAAAATGAATGGCATAGTCTATACTTGTATGCTTCACATAGTAAATTTTAGGATTTATTAACTAATCAGAACATGAACATATAAATAAAATAAAATTCATATCATGGTTAGTAAAGGCCGATCTTTGATCGGGTGGGCGGGGGTGCTCATTATTGACCTCCCCCTCTCATACCTAAGGTTTTGAGCCAAGCATCCTTGGTTACGACGAACAGTGGCCTTGGCACGAGTTATGGGTTTCCTAATTTTCCCAAAATAAATATTAGGTGGCAACTCTGAGATCTGATGACGCAGTCCATTTTTGACAAAATTGCAATAAAATGGATTATCAATAAAAGTTTCCAAATCTGAACTCTCGTCTACGTTTCACATTGCACTCGTGAGACTAGATCAAAGAGATCTCGGGGGTCCGAACTGTTTAACGCGCACGGGTACC